GATCAATTGAGGGTAATGGATGTGTTGCAATATGATAAGGGTGTGTGTGCATTAGGTTGATTCAATTGGCAAGGATGACAAATCAAGCAAGTATTGTCTAAACATCATGTGAAGAGCACAATATATCTAAACAATAGAGCATATATTGTCTAGACAACATGGGGATAGCACAATAGATCAAAACAAGTCATTAATCCTTCATTAAGCTCACAATTCACATACAACACAATATTAGAGGAATATGCCATTTGGACTCACAAGCATGGAACATCAAACATCAAGAGTAGATTGTCCTCCCATCTAACATTACACTACCACTACACTTAATCTACACTAGTAGCATGAAAATAAAGCTATCTAGACTAGGGGAGAGGCACAAACCATCAAGAATAGGCATAAACCATCAAATGAACCAAAATAGCATTCATTAAGCATATCATCTTGATAAACTCTAGATCTATAGCATCAATACACATAGACATGCATCAAAAACACTAAATCTAGGGATAAGCACATGAATATCCTACTCTAGCATACATAGACATATGGATATAATAGAATAGTCAATTGGAAGCATTAAACCATACAAACCATGAAATAATCAAGATTTATATATACATGAATATCAAGATGTATCATACAACACTAATCCCTTAATAAAACACAATATTAGAGTATAGAAAGCATGCTTGGGGCTAACTCTAGCCCCAAGAGGATGTCTAGCCACTCATGGTAGTGATGATCCAACCCTCAAAGGCTAACTCCATGGCTGCTCCTTGTTGGTGAAGATCTCCTCCAATGGTGCTCTAGCTTCCTCCCTTCTTCCTCTCCAAGAAGAGCCTCTAAGATCAATTTTCAATGTGTGACAAGAGACTCCCTCAAAAAGTGTATCATATTCCTTATATAGGTAGGTCAAATACACCCCATGATGAGCTGTGGTCGTGCAAGGCATATTCTCCAATGATTGGATGAAGGACGGAATAAATGAGCTGGACTTTAACCTTTTCTCGCTGGAGGAAGTTCGATCGATCGAACCTTAACTTGGATCGATCGAAAATGGGTTCGATCGATCGAACTGCATCTTGGATCGATCGAAGTGGTCTGACTCCTCCGGATAATGACAAGGCTGGGATATTTTCAAGATATTTATGGGGAAAAAGACAAAAGTGGCTGGTAGGAGTACAGCTGTGGATAAGATTAATCATTTGAATAGGACAAAATAGGGTTCGATCGATCGAAGGTGATGTTTGATCGATCGAACTTGGAATTTTAGCAAAGGCCAGGGTTGGATCTATCGAGAAGTACTGTGATCGATCATAGATGTTTGATCGATCGAACTCTAAGTTGGATCGATCGAATTTTTCAGCTGCACAACTTGATTCCTTTTTGCTCCTTTCTTTCTCCACTTTGCTCCCTCCTTTGGTTTATCTTAGGATTGCTTCAATTAAGCTCTTATTTGGCTGAGTTAGCTAAATTTTGGGATTAGTGCCTGAAAATATAAATAACACGTAATAAGTCTAAAACGGCAAAGTAAGATAGATAAAGGTATTAGAATGCTTAAGCTTAACGGGTTTAAATGCGCACTTTTTAGTGCTCATCAAAGGGCATGAATGCATAGTTTCTTTAGAAATATTCTTGAATTTTGAGGTTCTTGTGTAATAAATTTTGTAATTAATTTTTGTTTTAGGGACTATTTTACATTTTAATTTGGAAGATAATTTGGTAAAGGACCTTTTTACAATTTTTGAAAAGTGTGACAAGTGTTACACTCTCATTAGTCCACTTGTAGGCATCTTATTGATTCACACTTAGGAGCCTTGGATGATGACATGTGGAGGGTGATGATTCACCCACTTGTTGACATAGGACAGGTGCACTTGTTGGCCTAGATGGTTGACAAGTGTAGGCTTAAAATTAAGCCTAGGATGGATACTTGGATTAGTGACAAGTGTAGGCTCCAAATTTTGTCTTACAATTTGTGTGTGTGACAGAGGTAGTGTATGTGTGTGTGTGTTTGACCAACGACCTTTAGTTAGTGGAGAAATACACTTTTCTCCACTAACTTTGCTTCTTCCTCACAAAACCCCTTAGCCACCATTGAAGAAAAGCTTAACAAGCTTAAAACCTTGGTTTTGATCCTCTTCCACTCACCTTTGACCTAAAAGCTTGGAATACAAAAGCTTCCCCTCACCTTCCTCTACAAAACCCTTAAAGGATTTCTTGGAATTCTTTTGCTTCCCTTAGATTCAAGAGGAACAATCCTCTTGTGAGGTAGGGGGTGATATATGTTTATAATCTTAGTGTTTTAAATGTTTTTGTAGCTTAATATAATTTGTATGCATATCTTTAACTTAATTTAAAATTTGGTTGGTGGTAGTAACTTGTATAAAATTAAGCTAAGACATGATAATTGGAATGGCCATGGCTTGATCTATAACTTGTGTTAATTTAAAATCATTTGGAGTTGTTTTGAAACCTAGAAAAATAATTAATTAAGTTAATTAATTTTTAGGGATAATTTCACTCACACCCCCTTAAGTTTGGCCAAATATCACCCTAAAATATCTTTCGAAAATAACTATCACTCACATTACAAACATTTGCTCCGTTTTTCACTCACACCGTGTGTCAGACCACTTTTTACATGTAAAAAGACATTCTTACCCTTTGACTTTGGTTTGACCTACTAAATTGTTTCATTAATGATTCAAATGACATTGAACTCCATTAGAGAGTGAAAGTGATGGTTGCCATTGAAGCTGATGAAAGAAGTTCACTTTACTTTCTGTTATGGAAAAAAACACTTCACTCCTCCTCAGTCTTCACAACTTTGTTAATTTATATACCTCCTATGTGCGTGCGAAAATGATAATGAAAGATTATAAAATTTTAAATATGTTTATATGAGGGAAAATGATAAAAGCTACTAATCTCAACACTGATTTGTTCGTATTCATTATTGATTAATTTTTTTTTATTGAACAGTAATCACTGAAATAATGAGAAAAATTGATTTTATGAAGTGTAACAGTACACTTATGGGTGAATTGATGCGTGAAAATGGTAATTTAGAAAAAAAAAATTTAATAATATTTTTGGGTATTGTTGCGTGAAGAGAGAGAGAGAAAGAAAGAGGGGTTGAAATTGTGGGTTTGCAATAGCAAGTATGGGTTGATTGTGATCGACGATGATGGGGTTCTGGGTTTGCGATTGGGTTTAGAATTCTTGTATGGGTCTTGCGCTTAGTTCTGTTGATGGTGTTACAGGCATGGGTTGATGGTGGTCTTGGCTTGGTGGTGGATAAACGATGATGGGTTTTTGGATTTATAATTGGTTTTCATGGTTATGTTAGTCTGTGGCTTGTATCTGTAAAGAAGAGAGATAGATAGAAGAATTTATAGAAAAGAGAGACAATGAAGCATCTTTCAGATAGAGACAGTGGAGAGAGAAATAACGTGTGTGTATTAGCGTGAGTGTAATGGGTAGGTAGGAGTTTAATTAGGGGTATAATATTCATTTAGGTTATCTGATATTTTAAAATAAATGTGATTAAAAAATTTGGGGTTAAAGTTGTCTTTTCTCATGTTTTTAACGGAGATCATAACGAAAAAACGAAAATGGACCTAAGTGATTGTGATGTTTCCATTTTTCGCCATTTTTCATTTTTTTGGAATTTTGTCGTTACAAGGGCATTTACGTCTTTTGTTGTTTAGCGTACCGGACACCGTTGAGTGTGTCAATTGTGTTCGAGAATTGTTTGGAGTATTTCATTGAGTTCATGACTCTTGGAAATGCAAGGTTGGTCATTTTCGCATTTTTTCATTTTTCGGGTCGGACGGTCCCGTGTGGGACCCGCCGCCGGTATTGTCGTGTACCGGGATTTTGGTTGGGTCCATTTGCATATCATACATTTTATTTTATGTGCATTATGTGTTTTATATGGTTGTGTGCGTGTATATAAATTGTGGTGGAAAAATTTGAAAGAAAATAAATCAAAAAGAAATTCTTAAGTGGTGGGACCCACCACTACCATTTAGTGATCAAAGAGACCAATTCTCTCTCTCCCCGCTGGTTTCTTCTGTCCTTCACATTTCTTCACTTTTTCTTTTTCGTCTCAACAAAAACTTCAAGTCTTGATTCCTCCTTCGTTACTTGGAATTTTTGGAATCCATTTGCGGTAATTCGAAGAGCACGGTGAGATCTTCACATCCATATAAGCAATTTTAGTTTTAGTGCACTATAGGGATTCTGGTTTTGAGACCCATTTTGGGGATTTTTCATCCTCCTTGAGGTAGGGGTCTCTAATCCTCACTTTCTTGCACCTTTGTGAGTTTTTCTACTATAATTGTTATCAAGCTTGCTTGATTTGAATTGATTGTCTCTTACATGATTTAATTATGTATATGAAGCATGCAATTATGTGTATTTGTTGATTTACATGGAAAGCGTGCCTAATTGTTAATTTTCTATGCCTATTGCGCTCGTTAAATTGTTAGAACTTGTTAGATAGAAGCATGCTTAATTGTGTAGTATAAAATCCCTTATTGCCCTAGCATTGAAAACATGATACATACATGCATACCATGGGGCATGAATAAAGGGAAATGATTTGAAACAAATTAAAGGAGATTTTGGGAAATTGTTTGGATTAAATGGATTTATGAAAACCTGGTCGTCGTGGAGTCGCCAAAGGGCCGGTATGTTAATGTAACCTAGAGAGAATTAGGGAAAACACCCTAGTGTGGTTGAGCTAGATAGGCCCCAAATGACGCCGCGGAAGTACCAAGGGTCAGGGACAATAGCTAGGGGTGGCAAAATTGGACACGACACGATAACACGGCACGAACACGACACGAGATAAAAGGGTTTGGGTTTAGTATAAATGGGTTTGGGTCGGATAAGGGTTGACACGATTAAAACACAAAAAAATTGGGTTGGGTTCGGGTTCAACCCGTGTAACCCGCGTAACCTGTTTAATTAAACGGGTTAAACGGGTCGTGTCAACACGGATACGACCAAACCCATTTAAAATATAAAATAGTAAATTGTGAAATAAGAGAGGCTAAATTAGTAAATTTGTCCATATAGGTGTAAAATTAAAAATATAAGAAAAAAAGCACTAACCCTATCGCATTATCGCATACGGCATATTCCATCTTCTTGTTTCTGTCGACAGAGAGCAAAAGGCGATTAAGAAGTACGAACCCTAGCTTTGAGCCTTTGATCTTCTTCGATTCCTCATGTGATTTCTTCCTTCTATCGAGTTCTAACACAAAGTCACAACTAACAAAGGTACAGATCATTCGATTTCAGTACCTATTTCATTTCTTATATCTTATATTCATTATTCACTATTTCTATTTTTTTGTTTCTGCCGACAGAGAGCAAAAGGCGATTACGAACCCTAGCTTTGATCGTCTTCGATTCCTCATGTAGCAGTTTTACAAGCAGCATACTGAAATATAGTTTTTATCACTACGAACTTGATATTCCGAGGTTCTTTTTAGCAAATATGGTTAGTGTTAGTGCTTTATTTATTTGTGTGTTGTGTTGATTGGTTCATTGGTGTTTCTTCTGAGATTTGACAGGAGATGGTCAAAGGGAGAGTAATCAAATCTTTGCTTAGACTCAAAATCTAATGAATGTTTCAGACACTATCTCTATATTTTCAATTGATGCCGGTTCTGTTTTTAGTATATAAGAATATAAGATTTGGGCTATTTAATCTGATTTCTTCCTTCTGTCAGTTCTAACAAAGGTACAGATAAATTTCTTTAATCATCTTTAGCTTTCTTCCCAGAAAGACGAAGCTGGACCACACCATCTATAAGTCATATATATATATATATATATATATATATATATATATATGTCTCTGTGTATTTCTAATTTTCTATATAAGCACACACATGTATGTATGTCAGTGTATTTCTTGTTCTTTTTTAGTTTCTTTTATGCTTGGATTAAATCGTTTAGAAATATTGTATATTCTTTACTGAAATATAAATTCCACAAACATTTTTGAGTTAAATAATTTCTTAGACATTTACACACACTTATATTTATTTTTTTGCGAAAAAAAATTTTGAAATACTTTTTGTTGAAACAAAAGAAAATTTCTATGTTATAATTATTTTGTATTAAAGTCTAGAGATTATTACAGGAAAAAGAATTTGGGTGTATTAGAAATTAGAACAATAACTAATCTTTTCTTAAAATAAGAAATATATATTAAATTGACTTAGTAATTTATTTTTGTATTCTATTATCTTATCTTTTTACTTTTCTTTTATTTCGGTGCAAACTTGTAGATGGATGCTGCTACTGATATTCAAATAAACCTTGAAGATGTTGAAGAAAGTGGCGATGAAGTTGAAGAGCTACAAGGAGATGAGGAAGCTTTCAAACCAAAAAAAGCTGTAAAACGAAAAAGAAAATTCACCTCTGCCGTTTGGAAATATTTTAAGATGCGTCCTCTTGCTAAAGACAAGAAGCCAAGATGCGAGTGCAACAAATACGGGACGGTTTATTTGTGTAGTTCCAAGTATGGAACTGGGAATATGAAGCGGCATGATAATTGTATCAGAAAGAACACACATGATGTAAGTCAGCTTCTTTTATCTCAAGTGCATTCATCAAAATTTGATCCTGAAAAGTTTCGTGAATTATTGACTGCTGCTATTATAATGCATGAGCTACCTTTTCAATTTGTTAAGTATGAGGGCATTAGAGCAGTATGTCGATATTTATGTGAGGATTTTCAACCTATTAGTAGGAATACTGCCAAGGCTGATATCTTGAAAATGTATAAAACTGAAAAGGGTAGGCTTCGACACTTGTTAGGATCAGTGCAGGGTAGGATTTGTTTAACATCTGATTTATGGACTTCTTTAACTACTGATGGGTACTTGTGCCTCACTGCACATTTTATTGATGATGATTGGCAATTACAGAAAAGAATCTTGAACTTTTGCTACATGCCATCACCACATAATGGGGTTACCATAAATGAAAAAATTTACACATTGTTAACCGAATGGGGGATTGAGAAAAAACTGTTTTCAATCACTTTGGATAATGCTTCTTCAAATACTTCATTTGTTGACATGTTGAAGTGTCAATTAAATTTAAATGATGCATTGTTGAGTGATGGTAATTATTTTCACATTCGGTGTTGTGCTCATATTTTGAATTTGATTGTGCAAGATGGTTTAAAAGAAATTGATGAATCTGTCATTAAGATTCGTGAAAGTGTTAAGTATGTTAAAGGTTCTCCGGGGAGAAAACAAAAATTTTTGGAATGCATTTCTCATGTGTCTTTGGATTCTAAGAAAGGTTTGAGGCAAGATGTTTCTACAAGATGGAACTCAACATTTATTATGCTTGAGTGTGCCATTTATTATCGTCGTGCATTTTGTCACATGGTCCATCTAAAGATGAGTGGAGCAAAGTGGAGAAGATTTGCAATTTCTTAGGAGAATTTTATAATGTCACCAAAGTCTTTTCTGGAACAAAATATGCTACAGCAAATTTGTACTTCCCTGCTGTGTTTTTAGTTCAACGAAAATTGCTAACTGAAAAGGAGAGTTTGGATGAGTTCTTGTCTAGCATGGCCACTAAAATGTATTCGAAATTCTCTAAATATTGGTCAGAATTTAGCATGATCCTTGCTATTGCTGTGATTTTAGACCCTCGTTTCAAGCTTTATTTTGTGGCTTTTAGTTACACTAAGATTTATGGGTATGATTCTAGAGAGATCAAAAGGGTCCGTGATAACTTGTTTAGTCTCTTTAATGAGTATTTGCATGATTCTCCTTCTCCTATGAGCACAAAAGCCACTTCACAAACAGTTGGAAGTTGTTCTTATGAAAGAGAAGAAGCACTTTGGACAAAAGAGAGTAGAGATATCATGCAGGTAATTTGATATTTTATTTTTTTATTTACGTATTTTAACTAGTTTTACTTTATTCTTGTAAAATATTTATTTGAGTACTTGCTTTTACTTATTTATTTTTTATATAGGAATTTGATAGTTTTGAAAGTGATGAATTTGCTAGTGCTCAAAAATCAGAATCAGAATTGTATATGGATGAGCCAAAGGTTGATAGGAAAGTAGACCTTGATGTGCTTGTATATTGGAAGGCCAACCAGTTCAGGTATCCAGTACTTTCTCGTATGGCTCGAGATGTATTAAGCATTCCAGTGTCTACGGTTGCTTCCGAGGCTGCTTTTAGTGTTGGTGGTCGAATTCTTGATCAATTCCGTAGTTGTCTTAAACCTGAGAATGTGGAGGCTTTGGTTTGCACAAGAGATTGGTTATTTAATATAAAAGGTAATCAATTCAAATTTTTATTAATTAAATTAAATTTACTTTCATTGGTATTTATATTAATTTTTCTTTTGGTGTTTTTAAATGAAGAGAGCATGCAACTTCAATTGGATGACCTTGTTGTGGAGTTTGATGATTTGACCATGAGTAATAAAGAGGGCGTTCCTTCAGCACAATGTTTAAACACTTGTGCTGATATGGTTCAATAAGGTATTAATGATGTTATAACTCAATTTATTCTTAATATTTTAGCAAATAAATTGTAATACTGATATAACTTGTGCTCTTTTTTTTTTTCAGCTCTCTATTTGGTGAAACTTTTTTTGTGCTACTACTATTTTGGAAGTTATCTTTTGATCATGCCTTCTTCATTGAAGCCAGTGAATATCCTTTTCGGTGGTTTTGGTTAACAAAGAGCATATGCTTGGAGGTGATCCTTTTGTTAGTAATCTGCATATGACAAAGAGCAATATGATTCTACTGAACTACGCTCTTTTTTGGAGGTTGACATGACTGTATAATTTTATATTTCAAGATTTTCTTTGTTCTAATCCATATAATTTTATATTCACATCATTACCAAATGCTGGCTTATTTGATTTGCAGGGTCTTGGTGCATTGATTTATGCTGGAACTGGAATAGTGGAAGGAAGTAATTCATCTGGAGAGTGGTAGGAACTAGAACTAAAGACTTCTCAGGTTTATATACATACCTATGTATGTTTTTTTTTCCCCTTGTTTTGGGAAAGGAGGGGAAGGGGGTTGTTATAGGGGGTTTATATGCATACAAGCTTCTTTGTGTTGGAGACTTGGAGTGAATCAAGGATTGATCATTTCACATCATTCAAAAGTACATTTGAGGAATAATATTCTTCTTTTTTTTTTTCTTTGTTCAAGATTTTCTTTGTTCTAATCCTTGGAATTTCAAGATTTTCTTTGTTCTAATCCATATAGTTTTATATTCACATCATTACCAAATGCTGGCTTATTTGATTCGCAGGGTCTTGGTGCATTGATTTATGCTGGAACTGGAATAGTGGAAGGAAGTAATTCATCTGGAGAGTGGCAGGAAATGGAACTAAAAACATCTCAGGTTTATATACATACCTGTGTATGTTTTTTTTCCCCTTGTTTTGGGAAAGGAGGGGAAGGGGGTTTTTATGGGGGGTTTATATGCATACAAGCTTCTTTGTGTTGGAGACTTGGAGTGAATCAAGGATTGATCATTTCACATAATTCAAAAGTACATTTGAGGAATAATAATAGGAACTAAAGTCATTTTGTTTTCTTTCTTCTTCTGTTTTTTTCTTTGTTCAAGATTTTCAAGATTTTCTTTGTTCTAATTCTTAGAATTTCAAGATTTTCTTTGTTCTAATCCATATAATTTTATATTCACATCATTACCAAATGCTGGCTTTTTTTGTTCGCAGGGTCTTGGTGCATTGACTTATGTTGGAACTGGAATAGTGGAAGGAAGTAATTCATCTGGAGAGTGGGAAGAATTGGAACTAAAGACATCTCAGGTTTATATACATACCTGTGTATGTTTTTTTTTCCTCTTGTTTTGGGAAAGGAGGGGAAGGGGGTTGTTAGGGGGGGTTTATATGCATACAAGCTTCTTTGTGTTGGAGACTTGGAGTGAATCAAGGATTGATCATTTCACATCATTCAAAAGTACATTTGAGGAATAATAATAGGAACTAAAGTCATTTTTTTTTTCTTTCTTCTTCTTCTTTTTTTTTTTTTTTTTTGTTTTTTTTCCCTTTCTTTATTTTATTTTTTTGTCATGTGTGTCACTTATGATGCAGTTTACCAAATTGATGAAACTAGAGGTGCCTCTCTATTGATACTAAGAAACAGTGACTCGAGGACTACGAACTGTGAAGGTTAGGGGTTCTGACATAAAAATTACATCTTGGAGCATCTTTTTGAAAATCGTATTGTTTTTTCCTGTTAGATGGTTTCTTGCAGAAATAACTTTGAACGTTGAGAGTTTCACCGATCACATAACTGCACTGTAATTTTTATCATTTTTGTACACAGAAATCAAGCATTGTAAACGTATTTTCCCTTGAGCATATCATGTCATCGTGTTTGAGCTAAAATGATTCTCTTTGATTGGTAGCAGTCTGGGTTCACCAGTTTGGTCTCCAATTCAATTTATTCTTTTATATTTTCAGTCAAGTCCTTATCTATTTTTTATAACATCTATACTAGACAATTTACTTCAACTTTAGGACGACAATTGGCTAATCTGTCCGGTAATCTCATGGAATTTTCATCTCACCATGTGAATTTTCAACTTCAGCTCTTTTGTGATCTGCCATATGCCCAAACTTGAGGTGTCCATTTTGGGTATTTGGGTTTGGTCAGCACCACATATTAGTCAATTGTGGGAATATATTAGTCAATTGTGGGAATATATCTATATATAAGCCAATTTATCTTGGAAAATACTCTTTTAAGTCTTAGCTATGTCATCTAACATATATATGGTTTTTTTTTTTTACTTGACGTTTTTTTAGTTTTATCATTTTATATAGATTAGAGGTAAAAAGACTCAGAACTACATACTACAGTGGGGGTGAAAGCTTTTGACAAGCTTGGAGATGGAATGTCATGATTTTTGTTTGGTGATAGGCTCGGAGAATGAAATAGCCTTCTTCATTGAAGCCAGTGAATGGTATGTTTAATACTTTGCTCATGTGCTCATATGGTTTTTTTTTTTTTACTTTATTTTTATTAGTTTTATCTTTTTATATAGATTAGAGGTAAAAAGACTGGGAACTACATACTACAGTGGAGGTGAAAGCTATTGACAAGCTTGGAGATGGAATGTCATGATCTTTGTTTAGTGACAGGCTCGGAGAATGAAATAGCCAGTGACAAGCTTCCAGTTCCCGAGCATGACCATTTTTCTTTTTTCTTGAATGAATGGGACTTTGTGGATTTAAGTTATATATATATATATGTTGGATGATTTGCTGAAACAATTTGGGTTGAAAAGATATGCAACTGATATTATATTGTTTATATTTATTTTGATGCCTTAGATAAACATAAATGGGATGAAAAAAAAAAAAAAAAAACAAACAAACAAACAAAGAAACAAACTTAACCTGATTTATTTGATAAATGGGTTAAATGGGTCGTGTTGTGTTGAATTCAACATGACACGACCCAATTATTACATGGGTCGTGTCGTGTTGAACCCAATATAACACGACCCAATTAT